GGGGGGGGGGGGACTAAGGTAAAATCATACTGACAAAATACCAGTGTGGAAATCAACAAAATAGAAAAGCAAAAAAAAAATACAAAAAATAATGAAACTCTTTTTTGAGAAATTCGATATTATTTATAAACATCTATTCAGGCTGATCAGAAAAGACATAATAAGTAACATAGCAGATTCTACAGGTATCAAAAAGATAAGGTAATTATAAGCACATTATGCCAACAGATTTAATAACTAAGATAAAATGGACAAATTCCTCAAAAGACAAAACTACCTAGTTTCACTCAATAAGAAATAGCCAGCATAGCCCCGTATCTATTAAATATGTAGTTTAAAACCTTCCCACAAAGAAAACCCTAAGTCTAGATGGCTTCATAGGTGAATTGTACCAAACATTTAGGAAGAAATAATGCTAGAAAAGATGGAATTTGGAAGAGATGGTACTGCTTACCAATTTATGAAGCCAGCATTATCCAGCTCCTAAAACCAAAGACATTAAAAGAAAAGAAAGCTGAAGACCAGTATCCCTCATGAATACAGGGGTGGGCAAAAACAGGTATAGTTTATTTTTGTATTATTACTTATTAATTATGGAATCATTTGTTTATCCCACCTACAAACAACTGTAAACCTACTTTTGCCCACCCCTGTATAAATGGAAAAATTCTTAACACAATTTTAGCAAATCCAACAATATCTAAAAAGGCTAGTACGTACACAAGTGGTGGTTAGGAATTCCAGGTTGGTTTGATCTTCAAAAATCAATGTAATTAGACTTATGAATAGATTAAGAAGAGAAACAATCTGAGTAAATACACAAAAATCATTTGACAAAACCCCATATCCATTCCAAATAAAAACCTTTAGCAAATTATAAAACAGAACAATATATTATTTGAGCTGATATTTAGTTGGCACACAGAAGTTGTGAAGTTGTAAAAAATTACAGCACTTTTGAACTGGTTGGTAAAGAGCTTCTTCCCTGAGCCTTGAGTGCTGCTCCCTGCTGCTCTGTTCACTCTCCTCTCACCTGGAACTATCTATAACCTTCCTACTCTCCAGGTAGCTAAATTTCTTTAGAACCTACTCCAGCCCTACATCAATGTCTTATTGATTACTGCTTATTCCATACTGGGGGTTAAATGTTTTGAATATCACCTTATATCTATGTCCACCATAACAAGTTTTGAGACAGTTTAGAACTAGTTATTAGTTTGTCAGAAAGCTTTAGGGTAATGAAACCATGCCTAATGCTGTTGGGAACAGAGCCACATTATGGGCCCATGTGCTGAGGCCTTATAACCCAAAAAAGCCGGGGGAGGAGGGCAGCATCCATTCTCTCTGCTGAGACTTGGCCTCTTATAAGGACGGAGGTTTTGATTGTGTATCTAGGGAAAGTCATGGGTCTAAATGGCTCCTCCAGTTTTTGAAGCAGGGATGGCTTATGGAGAAGATCTGGGCAGCCTAAAGCCTGGAAAGGCTATAGGTTGGAACAATTCCAAGGGTAAGTCACTGTCTTTGAGTCTAAGTGGTTGGGTGTTTAATGCATGTAATTGGTTTTGTGTACAAAATTGTAAACATATATGTGGAATATAAACCATGCACCACGTTAAAATTTATAACCAATCAAGAGAAAAGTTGTTCTCTTGTTATAATTCCAAAGAAACTGGTTGAAAATGCAATACTAATTGTATCTACTTGAACCAGTTTTATGTATATAGCACTGTTCAAATTGTTCGGTAATAGTAATCAATATTCTTAAAAGATTAGAGATAAAGTATTTAAATAAATATTCACTATACCTCTCTCTAAATTAGCCACCACCAGCACCCCAGAGCAACAACAACAATCATCTAGAAAAGACTGCATGTTGGCTTGTCAACACATCAACACTGTTGAATAAAATATCATTGTTTTATCAGTTGAAGATGTGAGGAAAATTATCAATATCTAGTGCTAATAACATTTATCTCCCAAAACATTGCAAAAATTTGTAAAAAGAAAAATGCAAATAATTTTACTTTAAAAAGAGAATAAAGAAGATTAAAAAGAATAAATACCTTGGGATGTTGTACATCTTTATTTTTTAAGTTTTCTTTTTAAAAAATATGTCTTTATTGATTTCAGAGAGAGGAAAGGAGAGGGGGAGAGAGATAGAAACACCAAAGATGAGAGAGTCATTGATTGAGCCCACAACCCCTGATGGGGAATCGAACCCTGATCACCTGGATCCTAGGTCGATGCTCAACCACTGAGCCATGCCCGGCCGGGCTGTACATCTTTAGATCTGCGAATGGCCATTTGCTCAATCCCATACTCTCTTAGGTGTATAAGAAGAAATATATGGTGAGAATTTGCTCTGTCACACTACCTGTGAACTGTCCTGGGCAATGAAAGG